GCCTCTTCTACCCTCCTGGCTCCCCTCCCCATGCCCTGAATAAACTCTATTCTATGCTATACCGTCGTGTGGCTGGTCCCTGAGGGGGAAGGGAGGCCTCGGCATGGGCCCGTTGAGACATCCCCTTCCATCATTGGTCCCCTTTCCTTCAATTTTTAGACTTTTAACAATTTATATAAATTAATTTTTTTCTATCTAATCACTTCCCACAAGACACAAATGGTTAATTATTGAAAGCAGCCATTGCAAACCAAGTGCCTTTAAATAAAGGAATAGTAAAAAAAAAATAAAAAAAAAAAAAAAAACCAAACCAAAACAGCAGTGGTTAAGTGAAAGAATAATAATGAAACCTTCCTTGGATTCTTATTTTGTATTCCAGCCTTGGGTATAGTAGCTCCTACATATGACTGTAAATAAGAGGGTTTGTCTGATTATAAAAAATGCTAAGATAATTAGAACATGTATATGCAGGAAAAGACAAATGCAACTTAACCTCTAATAGCTTGTTGAGTGAGATCTTTTTTTTTTTTTTTTTAAAGATTTATTTAGTATGAATACACTGTAGCTGTCTTCAGACACACCAGAAGAGGGCATCAGATCTCATTACAGATGGTTGTGAGCCACCATGTGGTTGCTGGGATTTGAACTCAGGACCTCTGGAAGTGCAGTCAGTGCTCTTAACCACTGAGCCATCTCTCCAGCCCGTTGAGTGAGATCTTAAAGAAAATTAGAAGTAAAGGTTTATAGAGAAGTGTTGACCGTTGATAAACATCTAGGTAAGACTGAGAAACACAGTAACATTCTTAAACGATTGGTGAAACAACAATGAGTATTTCAAAGACAATTTGTTAGAGTTTAGTATAGTTAGAATCTTACCCTATAAAAATAGGATTTTTTTTTTCTCCTTTAGCACTGGGACTTGAGTGCAGAGCCTTCCTTGCTCATGCGAGCAAAGTGTTGTCCACTGAGCTGTATCACAGCCCTTTGATAAGATACTAACAGAGAATATGTGCTATAGCTTATAATTATCAGTCATTTGTTTATACTTTATTTTTAATTATAGAAGTGGTGCTGAAAACATTTTCAAACAATTTTGTACATTAAGTCCTCTTTGACTTCCCCATCCGTCCTGAACCATTTCTGGAAATAACTTACTATTTTGGAGAGTATACGGTGGAGCCTAAACCTGTACTTCCTTTACAGTTTACCACTCTGTGTTGTTTGTTGCTTATATGGTTGTGGTGATGGTGTCACAGTGCAGTCACTGCTGTGTGCTATGGGTATTTAGCCCCTCTCCTAGTAGTGAATTTTTCCACTGTTTCCATTCTAGTTCACAGAGAGTCCATTATTGTTTTACTAACATGTTTGAATTCTGTATTAGAGTCACTTTTGCTGACTTGGCTGCCGTGGATTTATTGCAGACTTTTGAATCAGCTGTGCAGGAGAATGTCAGCATTAATGGACAGGCTTGGGAGGAAGCCACAGATCACTGTTTTATGGGTATGTGATTTAAGGTTTTCTTCTGTGGTTAATTTCTGAGGTTGTTTTTATTTTGAATGCTATTTTACAATCCTGTTCTCCTGGTCTCTCTGTGGTGTTTGAATAAGAATGTCCTCCCTCCAGCCCATCTCTTTGACTTCACAGTCAGCAGGGAATGGCACTATTTGAGGAGGTGTGGCCTTGTTGGAGGAAGTGTGTCTGTCATTGGGGTGGGCCTGGAGGCCCACCAATGGGTTGGGCCATTCCCTGTCTCAGTCTGTCTCTCTATGTCTCTGTCTAATTCTGTCTGTGTCTGTCTCTCTCTGTCTCTGTCTAACTCTGTCTGTCTCTAACTCTGTTTCTTTGTCTCTCTTTCCCCTTTCTTCCCCTTGTGGGTCTCAGCTACTCCAATGCCTTGCATGCATGCCACCATGCTCCCCACCATGATGAGAATGGACTAAGTTTTTTGAAACTAAGCAAACCCCCAGTTAAATGCTTTCTTTTATAAGAGTTGCTTTAGTCATGGTTGTAAGCCCTTTGAGGTACCAGAGAGTAGACAGGCCCCAGCCTACAGAAAAAAAAAAAAAAAAAAAAAAAAAAGCCCACCAATCCCTGACCTTGCTCCCAAGGTTATGCCCCCACATAATCTCTCCAATCACAGGCCACCCTAGAAAGCTTTGTGCCTTACCCCTACGTAAAGCCTGCCTCCTGCTCAGTTCTTTGCTGCTTCCCTCCTGTGTTTTTCCTTTTAATAAATCTCTTGTGTGAGGTTTGTTGTGTGGTGTGACTTTGTGGGATTCCTTACCAGGATACCTCTCTGCGATAACACTTGCAATGGTGTCTATTCTCAGCAGTAGAACAGTGACTAAGATACCCACTCTTCTTTTATAAACATTCATTGGGCGGGGATGTACAGCACAGCACAGCTGGAGGTCAGAGGACAGCTTTCAGTTGTTTTCATCTTTCCCATGTGGGCTGCAGGGACTTGGACTTGGTGGCAAGCACTTTTCCTTGCTGAGCCGTCTCACAGCCGCTATCATTTATTAAAAAAAAACAATTATTATGGAATAAGTGGAAAGTAATGTAGGATATTGCAGTCATAACCCAAGAGAAACTCAGTGGGCACCTTGATCTACCTTGTATGGTGTATGACTTCTTAAAGGTTTCTCACCTGTCCCTTACATGCTTTGGGCAGTAGGCTCTTGGAGGGTATTGTACAACACTTATAGAAATAGGCCCAGAAAAATCCCTATGTTTCCCTATAAAGCCTTTATATGTTTGCATTCCTTAGACAATACTTAGGATAGTGAAGTGTTTTATGTTTAAAGTTAAATTTAAAACCATATGCATATCATGCAGAGGATGCTACAGATTTGTAGATAACTTCTGTTTTAGTGAGAATTTTACTGCTGTGAACAGACACCATGACCAAGGCAAGTCTTATAAGGACAACAGTTAGAGGTTCAGTCCATTATCATAAAGGCAGGAGCATGGCAGTGTCCAGGCAGACTTGGGGCTGGAGGAGTTGAGAAGTACACCTTTTGTTCTGAAGGCAGCTAGCAGAAGACTGGCTTCCAGGCTGCTAGGTCAAAGGAAATAAAGCCCACACCCTCAGTGACACACCTGCTCCAATAAGGCCGAACTAATGGTGCCACTCCCTGGGACAAGCATATACAAACCATCACAGCTTCTTAAGAATGCTTCCTTACTCCAAACAATTGATTGTCCTTCTTTTGTTTTGTTTGATACCGGGCTTCTCTGTGTAGTTTTGGCTGTTCTGGAACTCTGTAGTCCAGGCTGGCCTTGAACTCAGAGACCCACCGCCTCTGCCTCCTAAGCCCTGGAATTAAAAGCATATGCCACCACACCCAGCTTAGACTTGATGGTACCTTGCTGGCATGTCTAAAGAAGGCGAAGTGTTAATAAAAACAAAGTCAGAGTGGGAAGGGAACATCAATAGAAGGAAAGAATCTGTCTGAGAAAAGAGGCATGTGTCCCTGGGCCTGCGGTGCTGTGCAGAGCAGGGCTCTCCTGACGAGCCACACGTGCTACCCGGCCTCTATAATGTTACTCAGGGCTGACTAAGATCAACACTCACATTTCGTCACCTGAGCTGATTACAGGTCCACCAGCAACTCTCAGTGCTTACACCCTTTCTTCTCATCCGTGGCAGAATGCTATGCCCAGATTTTCTTGTCTGTTACTTGGGATTATGTTAGCTGTCTATTCAGAATTACCAAAACAGGGATTTTAGGTTTACAGAATGAAAAGATAAAACTACCAGCCTCAGTTTTGTGAAATAGTAATGCAGTAATTGTTGACTAGTAGGGTATATAGAAGCCAGACAGGAACACTTCCCACACCACACTGCTCTTCAGGGGTTCTTTATCTGAAGCAAAGTGTCAGGGAAAGAGGTACAAGGCAGTGACGTGTGACAGCACAAAGAGTAACAGCAAGTGTGTCAAAGGTGATAAAGAACAAAGGGATGTGTACTTTGTCACGTGCCCTTGGAGGAATCACGGGAGTTGTTTTGGTTTTTTTTGGGGGGGGCTGTTTGGTCTTTTTGGGGTGTGTGTGTGTGTCTCATGCCCGGCAAGTACAGTGTCTGTGCTATCTTTACACCCCTGTCTTAGGTGGGAATTGTAAGGAGAATTATGTGAGCAGATTTAATGGCTTTGCTTCTAGGCAGATACATAGAAGCAGAACGGAGGCTTCACAAGGACAAAGGGGTGGATTGGGTTTTGTTGTTTTTTTGAGATGGGGTTTCTCTGTGTGGCCCTGGTGGCCCTGGAACTTGCTCTGTAGAACAGGCTGGCCTTGAACTCCAGAGATTCAACAGCTTCTGCCTCTTGAGCACTGGCATTAAAGATGTGTCCCACCAGCGGGCCAGGGGCAGAGGTTTCATTGATTTTGTTTATTGAGATTTCCAAGTTCCTGCACTCGATGACATTCTGGAAAGAATGAGTAGGCTCTGTGAGGACGGCCTTTCCTCTCACCGTAACTGCTCTGGATGGAAGTTCAGTCAGGCAAATGTGTAGACAGTTCTGGATCTTTTTCAGACTATCAAGTTTTGTCCGTTTGTTCACACATTTCAGCTTTTTGGATTCTGCCCCTTGGTGGAGCTCAGGAACCTTTTCCTGCATAGAAGGCTACAGTGTGGAGGAGCTGACTCAGCAGGAGCTTTGGCTCCTGTAGGAGGGAAGGAGAGAGAGCTTGGGCTCCTG